TCAACAGAGTTTTGTACTTTTCAGCATATAAGTCTTTCACCCCTTTGTTAAATTAATTCCTAAGTATTTCATTATTTTTATACTATTTAAAATGAAATTGTTTACCTAATTTCTTTTCTGGGTTTTTCATTGTTAGTGTATAGAAATACAACTGATTTTTGTGTGTTAAATTTATTCCTGCAATCTTGTTGAATTCATCTATTCTAACTTTTTTTTTTTAAATGTGGAATCCTTAGGGGTTTCTACATATAAAATCACATTTTCTGCAAAGAGAGATTTCTGCGTCTCTAATTTGCTTACCTTTATTTCTTTTTCTTGTCTAATTATTCTCACTAGAATGTCCAATGCTGTGTAGAACAGGAGGGCAAAAGTGGGGATCCTCACCTTGTTCCTAATCTTAGAGAAAAAGATCTCAGTCATTCACTATTGAATATGTTGTTAGTTGTGGGAAGGTTCATTTTTGTATATCCAATTTTTTAGCACCATTTGTTGAAAAAGCTAGTCTTTGTCCATTGAATTGTTTTTTTTTTGTTTTTTTTTTTTTACCTTTGTTAACATCAGTTGGTCATATTTTTATGAGTCCATTTCTAGGTTCTCTATTCAATTTCATTGATCTATGAGTCTATTCCTCTGCAAATACCACATTTTTCTGATTACTCTAGCTGTAGAAAAAGTCTTACTATTGGAAAGAGTAATTCTTCTGACCTTATTCTTCTTTGTCAAATTGTCTAGCTATTCTAGAGCCCATGCCTTTCCATATAAATGCTCCAATAAATTTGACTGGAATTTTTATAGAAATTTTAGTAAACATTTAGATAACTTTTGGGGAAATTGCTATTTTATTATACTAAGTCTTCTAATTCATGAACACAGTATGTCTCTCCATTTCAGGTCTTATTTGATTTATTTAGTTGTTATCTTATAATTTACAACATATAGATCATGTACATGTTCCATTAACTGTATACCTAAATATTTCATATTGTTTGGAGCAAATGTAAGTGGTATTGTGTTTTACATTTTATTTTCTGAATGTATAGATCTTGTATTCTACAAGCTTGCTCAATTATTAGTTTTAGGAATTATTTTTTGTAGACATTTTAGCATTTTCTATGTAGACAATAATGTCATTTACAAATAGAGACAGTTTTATTTATTCCTTTTCAATCAAATATATTTTATTTGTTTTTCTTGCTTCATTGCACTGGCTAGAATTTCTAATACTATGTTGAATAAGATATTGGAAACAGACATGCTTGCCTTGTTCCACATCCTAGAGGAAGAGCATTCAGTCTTTCACTATTAAGTTTTATGTTAGCTGGGTTTTTTGTAGACCTTTTAAGTCAAATTTTATAATTCCTCCCTAATCTTTTCTTGCTGAGAATTTTAAATCAGAGATGTATTAGATGTGTCATGATATTTTTCTGCATAAATTGATATAATCCTATTTTTCTTTCTGAGTTTGTTAATATAGTAGATTATATTAACTGATTTTTAAAATATTAAACCAGCCCTATATTACTGGGGTAAATTTCACATGAGCATCATGTATAATTCTTTTTATACATTGTAAGATTTAGTTTGGTAAATCTTTTTTGAAGATTTTTGCATCTAGGTTCAAAAGACATATTTGCCTGTAGTTTTCTCCTCCCCTACTGTGCTTGTTTAGTGTTACTATCAGGGTAATACCAGCCTCGTAAAATAAGTTAGAAAGTACTCCTCTTCTATTTTCTAGGGGAGATTGTGTAAAAGAGGCAAACTCAGTAACTTTTGGGTGAAATCTGAAATTGGTCCCTGTACAAGGAGGGAAAGGAGAGACCAAAGAAAGATGCAGACAAATCCATTGACTGGTGTCAATGTTAATAAGCAAGGGAGCTTACATACGAGACTTGTCTTGGGCAGTCACAAGATGGATTGATCTCTGCACACACCCTCCCGAATCTTAAAAGTGTATCTAGAGGCCTTAACTGGGTCCAGATGGTCTCAATAATACCTTACTCTTTCAAGGTTGCATCTTTGAAACTGGCTCCTACTGTGGGAGCGATGGGCAGAGGGTACATTCTAAGGACAAGGTAGGGGATAAGGGGGTCACCAATTATCCAGATCCAGCTTATGGATCAACAGGGGGTCATGTCCTCTCCATGACCTCCTCCAACAACTCCCAATTGCTGATTACAGGTTATTTTCCCATTTTAAATCTCTGAGCCATGGAGAAAGTCTATTACTTATTTAAAAATAAAGTTTTTGAATCCCTTTAACAAATCAGTCCTGTTTTGTGTGTTCAAAAGTGATATATTCAATAAATGTATTAGCATGGTAGACAAAGTAATGTATTGCCCAGATTCCTCTTAAGTGAAAGACCAGTCTCCCCAGCTGCAGGGATAAGTGCATTTGGCTGTTCTCTCCTTCAGGGATTGCCTCAGCTTCAGAGAGCTGCCTTGTCTCAAGTTCATGACCTTCCAAGGCACCTCCTACAATGACTGATATTAATATAAAAAGGACTGGACAACTCAAACTATCCCGGAACAACTCTGAAGGGTCATCATAGCTCCAGAACTCCCTGGAGGGATAGTGGCCAAGACTGTCATTGGCCTGCATCATAGCTGAACTCCTACCACTGCCCACTCTTGCTTCCTGTATCTCCTACACACAGATGTTGGTCCTTAGTTACCATCCTGCTGGTAAACTCTTAAGAAATTACATTATATAAAAAGAAAACCCTTATGACTTAGTTTAATGTGATATTTATGGAAGTAGTCTTATTACTCATTTATAATGTTTACCTTGCCTAAATCATAAGTGAATTTGAGGCAACTAACAATAATCATATTATTTAACCAGTAGGAACAACCACACAAACATAAGCTTTATAACAGTAAAGATATTTTAAGTGATTAGAGCTCAGTATTCCAAAGCAAAATTTTAATTGATACCAATCAATCACAAATAAGCAACACCTCTATAAAATATTTTCTGGCTTTGCATCTGTGCCAGCACACATAAAAGAAAGTAAAAAATAGAAAATATTTACGCAAATAAAGGTGAGGATGATGTGGTGGTTACTTGTGTGGCTCAGAGAATAAAAGGATGGATTTAAAGACTCCTATTCCTTTAACCAGAAAACAGCATACAATGTACCAGGATATATTTTTCCTTTATATGTAGGAATATTGAGGGAGAAAAGTAATCATTTGTTTATCATATGATTCCTGTTTTCATATGACAGCTACTACATTGAGGGCACTGAGTGAATGGAAAACAAACAAGAGGGAAGTGATATATATATATTTCCATTAGTTAGAAAGCAGTTTAGAGTTACTGAGTATAATAGAGTACCAATAGATACAAACTCTTATTTTTAATCTGCTATACAGGTATGGGACCAGACACCCTATCATAACTAGTTCATGAGGGTGCTGTTTGGCATCTGAGGACAGACAAGGGTGTGATTTTCTGTTCGAAGGTTGAAACTCATGACTAGTGTTGTGAATTTCTCTCTTTTTCTCTCTCGCTTGTAACATAGACAGTGAATACTCTTGACAATTCCAGAGCCTTTGGAGCTTTGGGGGTTGGGAAGAGAGTGGATAACTGGGGGATTTAAGATGAATCCCAAGATATTGCAAATCTCAGCTCAAACATCACTCATCAGAAAGACCTGTCAACTCTTGGGACATAATCACTCTGCTCATATCAGTCTTCATAGGTGGGCAAACTCAGTCTTAACCATTCCAAGTGCTACAGATTGATCCTTTGAAGTCTAGTTTTAGTTTTTTTCCAAGTTCCGGAAAGGCAGGGAAACAAGCCAAAGCAAATTGGTTTTGATTTGAGTAGAGGCTCAACTAGCAACTACTAATAGTTTGCTAGTCACCTACAAAGGGAGTATGAAGAGGTCAAGGAACCCATATTCCCTTAGGCCTCCGATTCCGTCAGTACCCCGTTTGTGCTGGGTGCTCAGAGCCAAGCCCTACTGAGATTCCTCCCAGGGCGAGCACAGCAACCCGGGGGAGGGG